TTAAGAGAAATGGATGTCAAAAACTTTCAATGTTATTATAAACAACAAATCACAAACGGTTTTCCATAGTCTATATACTTTTATTGACCATAGAAATGACATCAAAATGTTAAAAACTTTGAAGTGAAACCACATGCTTGTGACTCGTGATTCCACTTCCATTGTCTCCTTGTACGTGTACGTGACACTCACAAAAACCAGGCCTGGTCCAGGGGAAGTGGGGTAGGGTAATGGATGCCAATATACTTGATTCCTATTTCCTGAAATACCAATATGCCAAACTATTGTACATGCATACCCCAAACTTCTGGCCAGCCCTGGTAAACAAAAGTGTGCAGCCGTTTTTCTCACTTCTATGGTTAGAAAAGTCTCCACTTTAAAATTAATGGGTCATTCCATTTTCATTTTTGGGAACGCATGTTCATATCCTTTCAAAATACCAAGGAAGAAGCAAAATTGGATTTGAATTCTCTAAAAATGCTAGCATGGTACTAAATTACACCAATGAAAGGAGAGCACTGTATTAGTTATCATTTACATAGTCGCACTCCAAAAAATTAAACGTTAAAAGAGTTTTTATAGGCTCAAAATTAAAAAACAACAAAGCTCGGAACGGGCTCTTAAATTAAAACCAGCTGGAAGGATAGAAACAAAGTTCTGTACATATGTTGTGGTTCAATATTATCCTAGGTTTAATTTTTTTCCCCTTTGTTTGGAAATCATTTTCATTCACAAACATACTGAAACACAAGGGAAATTAATATTTTAATTAAAGCAACAATAAAATCGAACTGCAAAATGTAAAATAAGCTTGAGTTTAACACAACAAAACATGGATCAACTGGTGATAGAATATATCACGAAAGGCTTCTTACCTGACAAAAATGTGGTATTTTGTCAAGCTGGTCTCTAATTCCAGGTATCAAAACTATGCAAGACGTGATCAAACCGAAGAGAAGAAACAACGAGTAGGCAATTCTCGTCGAAGTTGAGTTCTTGCAGGACGGACACGCTCTGCAACACAAACCACAGGCCGCAGAGCCACAACAACAAGCTAAGTTTGCGGCACAAGTCGCAGCCGAACACACTCCTAAAACTGCTCCCATTTCAAGCAAATGTAAGTCAACTCTTTCGGGGCAAAATAAAAACTACTTCCTGTCAAACGTGCTGCTCGCCATGAAATGTCATTTAGCTTCTGTTTGAAAAGGCAAGACACACACGGTCAGCGGTAACTAACACAAAAACATGACGTATATGACAGCAGTTAGAAATGACGTCAGAATCTTGTGACTATCCAAGATTTCCGTCACTACGTCATTTCCAAAAGGGGCCGAGTTAATTCCAAACTTCATTTCGTAAAATACTTAAAAACAAATAGTATGATTTGTCAGTACTACCAAGCAAAGCTAGGGAAGTTCTATTTGAATAGCCACACCTCCATAGCATTTCGTTTACATAATACCACCTTAGGGTACCATGTCAGTAGTTGCTTTGTTTTTTCTTGGGGCCTATAAAACAAGCCAACCACGCGACTGACAAGCGACGCGAACGACTTCGTCAATGCAAAAAAAAGCCATGCAAGAGAGAAACTTCTGTTTTTTCCTTCAAGTTAATTAGTTACTTATGTTACTTTGTTTTTTGATTTAAATTTAGTTAGGAACCGACCATTAGAAAACTTAAGGGGTTGGGGGGGGGGGGGGGGG